TCGGACGGTTCATAGGCTTTTGAATCTTTATGTCTAGTCGTGTTTCTGTCGGCCATGCGCGATTTCTTTTGTATTTTCTGCAACCCTTACTGTTCTTCCGCCTTTTCGCTGCATGGTTTATGTCATCACTTAATTCTGCCCCTTTATCCACATTCCTGTTAAGCAGTTTCTCCAGCACTTAACCTTTTGACCTTATTATACGCAGCTGTGGTCTTCGATGTGCTTCTCTCACGGATTGAGTATTTTTTATCCGTTAAATAACTATGCTTAAAGTAAGTCGTAACTGATTCATCATACTTACTAGGCATTTAAGGCATTGTTTTGATAAGCTGTAATTTAGACGGAAAAAGCAATAATTCACTTGCCGATTTCGCTCTCTGCTTCTGACTTGGCTCTGCGGACCGTTGTGTATTTTCATATTTGGACAGCGTACCGAGTTTTAGATCCCTGTTTTTATTTCTTCACGTGTCCACACATCTTATCAGGCGTTCTTTTTTAAGTCATTTACTGTCTAATTATCGTAGTGCTCTTGCTCCGTCTTGACTCACAGGCAGCATGCACTGCATAGGACATACATTAGCAGAACGCAGTATACTGCCGAAAAAACTACACTTTTGGTTTATTTCAGTGTCTTTTGATATTTCTAATTTGCCTACTCGCTTCAAGATCCCGAGATTAATATTGTCTGGTAGCATAATGTTATGCCAGTCTCCGTCTAGCTCTACACAAGCAGCTCAGACTTTCGGGCTTGTCCGCTAGTTCTTTTATTGACTGGTTGTGCACAGCGCGCCCCCATCATGTGATGGAACTTCTGGAAGGATTGCACCTTCAGCTACTACTGGCAAGAGTCAACCAATCACGAAACTAGCCGTAGACTAACTGTGCAGACTGGTCCGGTGTGAGTGTGATATTATCAGGACAGCTTCGTACAAATGTCATACTCCGAAGCAGCCTTAATTCTCCGCAAAACGAGCCATAATTTCTTTTCTGGGCTTCTTGTGCAGTACAACGGCGCCTTATCCTTTCTTCGGACCCTTTCAACCTGATTGCCTATCATTGGTTTCACCTAACTGACTATTCTCAATTGCGTGTATTCATCCTTAAAAATACGGTATGCTTTTACTGAAGTAGAATTTTCACAATTATTCTAGGGCTAAGTCTGTCACAACTTTCCTGGTAATGCGCGGTTGGTTTTTTGTCTTTTTGGCGACCATCATCATTACCGATCCAATTAACTCTGTGTGACGAGCCTACTGCGCGACGAGTTGTCGCTACTACTATGATGGGTCAGATGGTGATTAATTAGTGAATTTCAGTCAGTTGGTACGCCAGTCCAGCAGACCGAAGGCCTCGGGGCCAAAGTTGCTGTCGATGTGCGCATCCGTCATGTCCACCTGCGTTCTCGGTTAGATGTCTTAGCGTTGTCAACAGTCAATATCAAGTTCGGGTAAGGGGACATCCTGGAATATTTTTGTCCTCAAGTCAACGCAGAGGTTGGTCTGACTGTCTTAGTCGGAACATAAGTAGGGCCCAGTTAAGGTGTTTGGTTATTAGCCTACTGCATAACCGTTTGTTGAACACCTGTTCGAAGGGACTAATTCAGAACGAAAGTACCGTCGACAAAATACTTCCAGAAGGCGCACATCTTCTGAGCTCATGGTCGTGTCACGCCCAGACAGAAGGATTATCGTGGTAATGGTCACATATTTCTAGCTTGGTCTTCAGGCTAATGTCACACATCTGTTCTAGAGGTTTCAACAAAGCTGAACGAAGGCCGGTCGAGCCTGATCATTCAGACGGTCGGTTTCATCCGTACGCTGTCAGTTTTACAGAAATTACAACCAAATGTAGCAGAGACTGTCCGGCGATGGAAGTTTTTCCTCATCTGATGTGATCGAGCAAATATTTAGGATCGCGACGGTCGACATTATCATCCCTATCTTCGTGGAATTGTTTTTCATGCTTGCTTCGTCCGCTTTCATAACTACATGCTTCATGAGTCAGTCGGTGTCAGGTTAGTGATTTTACTGAGTTGTTTCGGGGTTTGTGGGCACCCGTGATTCGCTGCATATGCACGTGTCCTGACCGCTCGGGAATTATGATCACAGGCAGAATAGTATTACCGACAAAGACAAGGGAGACTGGAATGACCATTTCTGGCTTATTAGCCGTCGTCAGCCAGTCATACCCAACCCCGAAGCGTGGAACACCTGAGGCTCGAACTCGCAACCTGTTAGTTAGAAGTCCAACGCCTCTAATCACTAGGCCACGGGCCCGTTGTCCTATCGGTTGAGACCGGGAATATACAATGGTAGGGGGTGCTCGCCGATGTTTTTACGGAACTCACTCGAGAGAGCGAGCCTTAGGGCACAACTGGACGAGTGATTTCCGTAGAAACGATCAGTGAGCGCCCCTCTACCAATTTTGAAAGGCCCGAGGTATTTTAGGCGCTATCAGTGGGATAATCTTGTCTTGCATCTAAATTTTCAGATAAAGTGTGCGACCGTTCATGCTCAGAGACTGACTTCAACAATTCTGTGTGCGCCGAGGGAGGAATAAAAGCCGTTGAGAGAGTCTGAGACTGACCCCCACATTGTCGTCCCCCATTAACAAAGACCGACTTCCCCTCGCCCTAGTTAAGGATGGTGTCATCCGATGCCACTTCCCTTTACTTACGTAGCGCAGACACCCGCTGTCGAGACGATAAACAGCCAACCGCATGCAGTTGCGATCATACCGATGGCAAACCTACAGCTCGGGGTCTCATTAGCCTTGAAGTGCTGCATAAGAAACTTGTTTCACTCCCGATGAAACCACACACGAGCTGATCAAATGCAGCCAGTTAGGTTCACAAGTCTCTGGACTAATTGCTCAGGCTTTTCTGCAAGCTCACGAAACGCAAGTATTCCAGACTCACCGGCCCAAATTTTCAGCACACTGTGTTGAAAAGCCTTCGTCGTCATCGCTTGCTTCGAGAACAAACTCAATTCGGTCGTCCTCGATGTACCTTTAACTGTGGAGAACGGAGTGACCGAATGTCTCCTCCTCGATGTTCTGGCCAGTCATCAATACAATTCGGTCTAAAAATGACCGAAGAGTTCAGTACAGGTCCTACACCTGAACTGTAACCTCTCACTGCAACACAAGAGGACTTATGTACATACGTCTTGCTGGCGGGCTATACAGCCACTGCAGCCCCACAGTGGTCAATATAACTAATTAAACAACTACGCGAGGCCCGCAAACATCCGTTGAAAGGAGCGGGTGATCACACAAAACCACAGTTTAGGAATGAGACTGACTCACACTCTACACGTAAAAAAACACATCAGAGGACGTCGCTGGATCATTCTGGGTTAGAACTGCCCATAAGCTTGACTCAATGCGTCACCAAGCAATGCTGCCAAAATATCCATTCTCCAAATAAGACTCGGCCGTCATTAGTCCGTTAAAGCATTGTTGTGGGCTATGTAACTGTTCCGGAAATACCGGTAGACAGCCCTAGACGTGGGTGCAGGAACACCAGTTGGCAGTTGTCGGCACATCCTAACCTAACTGGTTGCGATTTTCAATTTAGCATGGACTGAGGTGTTTACCCCGTAACATTACAGGTTCAGGAGGCGTGGCTGCTAGATGTCCATTCGGTCAACTTACATATCAAGCTACAGCATATTTATACGACCTTACCAACAGCTATTTCATCTAATGCTCGTTAGCGTGATGTTCACTCCTCAGATAAAGAAACCGGTAGCCGTACCGAAGACCCCAGCTAGCCAACTGCCGCAAGTAGGCACGCGTGGAGAGGTATAGTACGTGTCGTCATCGAGGTCGGCTAGATCAGACATCATCATGACCGCACCAAGTACACGCGAGTAGCAAAACCAGGCGCACGTCAGCAGCCTCCCTATAGCTCTGGTGACACATCCGTCTCTGGGGATAGACAACCGCGTATATTGACCGAGAACTCAAATCTGAAGCAAAGCTACTTATGTGGTCCTTTCCCTTCTCGTTCAATTCTTAAGGCGCATCGTGTCGATCAAAGGCTGTAGTTTTAAATTTTACGGATACTGAGACAGACTGTGCGAGTTTTGCTTATTCTCCTCGTCATTTTATTGAACACAGGGATCGCGAACGACGGACTTTATTTACCTCTTTTGGCGCCTGCTTGACTGTTATCTATGGAAATGTAAATCAGTCCAGGTTTCGTATTGTTATTATCGGACATTGGACAGCGCATGTTACGGGATCGTGCATAGGCTTTACCACTTTTAGGTTACCTGTATAGATTAATTATCGTTTCTCAAAAGACCTATGTCCTCAACGACTTTCATGTGGGTTGGCTTGCTGACTGAGGGTTCCACGCCAGTTCACTTTCGCACACAATACTGAGTATTCGATTTAGGTGAGATGCTGTTTCACCCACGTTTTCGGGGGTTCTGAACCCTTTTGGGTTCGGATGCTTTTAGGAGAAAGCAGTACCATTCAGCACTCTGGGTAATTGAGTTAGAACGGAGAAGACCGCGAGGGCGATGATGATGGTGGTGGTGCTTTTCCGGACACCTGTATGTAACCAGCACCTGCCCCTCCGTCGAGATTTTCCACTTCCTATTTTGTCGAACCGTTATGAACTCCCCCCCCCAATGACCGTGTCTAATTTAGACATGCTTTACTGGTTGCCGTGAACGTCTTTTCTCCCTTAAGTTATCCTGACTGAGCAAGTGCTCTTCATTGGCCGCCGTCTGCACCCAATAACGTTTTGAGTTCATTAGGACTTTAATTCGTAACGAACGCTACTGTGTCACCGGTTTGTTCTCAGGGTAGATTGAATGGGTTGAGTAAGTTGGTTTGTTCTGACATGTCTGACCAGGTCGGGCAAGTCCCTAAACCTTTCGACCCTTTCAAAAGCCGCTCCTATTAGTAGTTTTAACCCTGTCATCCTTCTTTCCCCACGGATCATCTTCGCAGGCCCGCAGCCGTGGGCGTTACGCGACGTGCGACTTATGGCTGTGATGGCTTCGAGGGAGGTAGTTCAGAACGGAGCCGCTGTGAAACGCTCAGCGCGAGCCCTGGAGTCCTCGGATCCTAACGAAGTGCCTGCCTGCCTAAAGAAGTTGGTGCGCACGATTGTACGCAGTTTCTACTCTCGAGAACACTCGCTGATAATGGATCTCCTGGTAAGCACGCGGCAAAAGTCGTCTTCTTTTCGAACTTTAACTCATCGCTCCACTTCTCCCTAAACGCTGTTTATTTCCTCTGAGTGGGTGACTTTACCCAAGTGTTCTTAGACTCACGGCCCTCGGTCGGCACCATGTAACTCAGGTGATTAGATCTCTGACCGTGCTCAAGCCCTGTTGTCATTGGTTCACATTCCATTGAGGCCGCCGAGTTGTGCTCACAATTAAGTTGTGTACATTATTCAGACCTGCCGAACCGCCTGTTCATTCAGCTTTTACCCTAATCTTAACTGCTTTCAGGTTCGAAACACCATAATGAAGGAGGATGACCTCTGTGAGAGATTGCGCTTTGAAAAGAAGCAGTTGCGCCAGTATCTGCACACCCTGAAGACTGACCAATTCATCAAGTCAAAGCTGCAGCTGGAGACGGATGCAGACGGGAAAACGGCCAAAATCATCCATTACTTCATCGACTACAAGGTAGGTGCGCAGTGCATGTAGATGTGTACGTGTGTCTGTCCGCTGCGGGTCAAATTTCGCGCTGAGTCGCGTCCATCCAATCCCACCGGATCTGGAAGTGTGGGCTGGGTGACTAGGTGGGCTAGGTCTGATGTTGACCCGACTTAGTCAAGGTCTGCTCTTTTGACGAAAATGTAAGAAGTATAGTTCTTGCGTCGAATAAGAGGATCACCGGGGGGGGGGGGCGTTGGTGACTTGTCTGGGGTCAGAACTAGTCGATCGTTCTTTCCCGACACCCAGCGCATTTCAGTGGGAAGACGAGGTCAGGTCAAGACTGGTGGTAGGCTTGGGCGTGGTGCGCGACTGAGGACTAGTGCGGCTGCGATCATGCCTCATCTGACCGGCTTCGATGGTGTCGTCTATTGTACCTCTCCACGCGTGAACATTTGCGGTAGCTGGTCTGGACAGCTCGGCTCATTCTCTTCGCTTGCAACGGATACTGACTATCGAAGATCCAAGGACCACTTCCACTTCATGGCAAACTGTGTCGAGCCAGGTCTTGAATTGACGGCCCTTTCGACGCCTTCAGACGGTCAACGGCGCTGGATTGAGGGCAGTAACACTGAACTCGCGAAGCGGACCACCTCACTCGTCCTCAGGGATGGTCTGAGACATCCTCGCGATATTGTTTCAGCGAGCGCGGACTGACCCATTTGAGAAGAATTCAGTGTACTTCACTCAAAGGATGGTCCTCAGACAGTGATGGCCAAACACCAGTTTTCGCTAATCTACGCGCACAACCTAGCATTACAACCGTACACGTCGGGTCTATAGGCACTTTTTAAGGATTTAGAAAACCCTGCGAGCAGTATCAATACAGGAACCAATGTTGTCCTTACTTTGTTCAGTGGACAACAGCCTCTCCCCGAGGTATTTAAAACTGTCTACTTCTTCAAGTTGACAGCCGTTAATCCCGAGGGATGCCCTCACCTCGTCAGGAATTCAGCTCGAAAACAATCTGGTCTTTTCAACGTTTGTGGATAAACTGACCAAAGTAACGATTTCATTCACCCATGAAACCACAGACCGTAGGCTACCAAGGCGATATCGTCAGTGGTGGAGATCAGTCAGCCGGCGTCCGGGTGCAAACTCAACACCGTAAAAACCGTGTACGGTTCTTGCGTAGTTGAGCAGAATGGGCCACAGGATGCAACCTTGTTTAACACCAGATCAGATATCTAACGCTTGAGAGAGATTGCTATGGATGAGAACTCGCACGGTGGTGGAGCGATAGTAAGCCTTGATCATAGCGATGATTTTGCTTAGCACACCATATAGTTCCATTGTTCGTCGCAGAGACTATAGACGGAATCGAACGTAGCGACGAAGTCTATAAAGCAGACGGCCGTCTGTTGTTGGTAGCTATGGTGGAATTCAAGAATGTGCCGCAGTGCGAATATCTGGTCCGCGCATGCACGGCCAGCTTGGAGTCTGGTTTGGTTGGGCCTCGTCCTAGAGTCACGCACAGCCTGGGATCGTCTGAGGACAACTGCGAAGACCTTCGCAGCAACCTCAATGAGGTTTATACCACAGCAGTTCTCGCATTTTGTCTTATCACCCTTCTTGAAGACAGGCACAAGGATGCCCGGACCCCAGTCATTAGGGACTACTTCTTCTCTCCACGCTTGTGCAGTTACCTCATGGAGCCAGGGCCTCATAAATGCCGACACAAGACTTGTAAATCTCAGCGGGAGTACCGTCCTCTCTGGTCGTAATGCTGTAGTTGGACGTTTTCATGAGGTTTCATAGGGATTTTGAGTACAAGTGGGTCCCCAACAGCTGTTCAGGTCACTTGTTTGGAGTAGTTTCCGCTAGCTTTATGGCTTAAAATCCTAGACAAAAAGCACTGGTGACAAGCAAACTCATTTTATGGCGGTTCACGGTCACCATGTCGCAGTGCCGTCATCGGGCTTTGCGGCGTCATATTAGGCAATCGGCACGCCTGATCCCAGCATTGTCTCTGCTGGTCCGCGACTGCTTATTCGCCGGACCCGAAGATCTTCATAGTTCGCAGCTTAGCCTTGTGCGTAAACAGTCGTGGCCTGGGGGGTTGCCAACCGACGGGATATCTCAGAATAAGATATAACAAGGGTCAGACTGCTTTTGTGGCAGTCTCACTCACTTTATATGTGAGATCCTTCACTGAACTCTGATTCGTGTGAATTTTTGTTGTTATTAGGGGGTTTTAATGCACTCAGCCGTGTCACAATTACAATACAAAACGTAGAGGAATGAGATCACAAGCGCAGTCTTCATTGGAACATGGAGTTTGCCCCTGCTTTCACATTACCGTCATCGGGCTTTGCGGCGTATTATAAGGCAATCGGCATGCGACTGCTTATTCGCCAGACCCGAAGGCCTTCTTAGTTCGCAGCTAGTCTTCGCTTAAGGCTGTTCCACTATCCGCCATCTGTGCACGCGCCGTGTAACCAGCAGCTGTGCCTCAAGTTGTGATTCCTTTAGACTCTTGTCCTTGGTTCAACAAAAATGTGATGCACATAAACTTCCGTTAGGAATCACTTAAATACTCCAACTGCCTCAAGTTTGAAACTGTTAAGGCTACTGACTGAATTTAAGTAGCTGGTTTATCTTCACTATAATTTTGCCCACGACTCTGATTTTAGTCAAACCCGCTAGGCTAGTGGGTAACCCGTCTTCCCGGAAGTTGTGTGCATTTAGATGGACCATTCACAAGATTACTCGCAGTTGCTGCATATCCCTTATACTACAAACTCATGCCCTTTTATTCTTCAACCTCTTAGCTCTTTGTCAATGTGGTGAAGTACCGACTGGACCAAATGCAACGACGCCTGGATGCTGAACAACGCCAAACCACAAGTCGGGCGCTCTTCAAGTGTCTCAGCTGTAACAGCAGCTACACCGATCTCGAAGTGGACAGACTCTTCGACTTCACGGTGGGCAAGTTGGTGTGTGTGTACTGTCGGGCCGATGTACAGGAGGAGGAGGACAATGCCCAGCGCTCGGACGCGCGTGCTTTGGTTGCAAAGTTTCATCAGCAAGTGAGTGGCATCTTCAGGCAGCGCTTGAGGAACTGCACCACTGCCTCTCTTACGTGCTCTTGATCATGCTAACCTGACTGCATATCGTCCGCAGCATTTGACCGTTATCGTGGGGATTTTTTAGTTTCCATTTATGTCATACCTTTCCCTTCTTCTGCTCTCGTTAAAGAGAGCTCGACGTAGAGTTGACTCCTATATAGGTGCCGTCTTCATGTCGAGGCTTTTACTGGGCATTAGGTTAGCGCACAGTATGTTCGCGTGTTCGTCTTTTGCCACAATTACCACGATTAGGCCTCGCACTGACCTATGTCTCTGAGCCGGAACAGCTCGGCACCTGAGGGCTCTGTGTTGAAAATCGCAAGTTTAATTAATAGCCTTCATTCCGAGTGACACTAATTGCGTCAAAAGTGGTTAATTTCTATATCAGCCCGCGTTTTATCCGAATTCAAGTCAACTTGTTGTTCCGTGACTGAGACGTAGTCGCATCAAGGTTTAGAAACAAAGTAATAGGTCATCAGTTAAAGGATTCCCGCCCTATTGTGCGGAAGCTTGCGGCGGCGATCGTGTATGTGGTCCCACCTAGTCTTTACTTTTATTAAATACCTACTTGTGACATTTTAGTAGACTGAATTTAGCCCTCTTGGCTCATTATCCTTAAGCCTCCCCCACATGTTACAATTAAGGCTAACGTTTGACTTGGGGTTAGCTGGTTATGGGTTAAGGGTTAGGGACCGAGTCGCCAATTATGTCAAATGTAACTATATCTCTGGTCGCGACCGTCACGAGATTGAGATTTAACGATGTATTCCTCTCACCTTCCCCTTCGGTGTGGTTGGTCATTACAGGCTGGAATCAGTTCGCCTGAAATATGCTACCAACACCTTCAACTTTTATCCTTTCCACCTCTTTAAAGCTCCCAATTTCCGGCATTTCAAATTGCACGTCTGCATTCTTGCGCCTTGTTTGCTCATTTGAACAAGCCAATGGCGGAAATGGGATTTTTTCCTTATGCCTCCCGAAAACGACTGTTTGTCAGTTTGCATTTACCCACCCATAAAACCCTCATTACCTCGACCTCCGTATCACGAGAGTCCTCGCCTGCCGTTTCCCCAATGAAACCACATATCCAATCGTCACGGAAGCCTACTTCAATCCTCTTTATCCCCTCCGCCATTTTTTGTAGGTGCGTGAGCCTCTAGATGATATGCTGAAGGAGTGCGACCGTGTTCATCTCTCCTCCTCTGTCCTCGAGCCGGAGATTCGAGCTCTTGAACCTCTGCCTGGGGTTTGTAAAAACTTGAAAATTTGTCTTTTTGTTTCATGCTGATGCCATCAATGATGGTAGTTAGTTCATCTTGCCCGACACTGGACATTTTCATCAGATTGCGGCTAGTGTAGTCTCAGTGTTCTGGTGGGTTGGTAACGTTGTCGGTGTTTTATTGGATACGAGGGAGTGTCCAACTAGACCAATTTTTTGTCCGAAATGAGCTTTTGAATGCTTAATTCGCTGGGGTCGTTCGGTCACTACTGGTAGGTGATGGTCCTGTCACGTGGGCGATGCGCCGAACCAGTACGCGGACCAGCTCAGGGTATGGCACACGTAATTTGGTTCACGCGTTCGTAACTGTGCCGCACTTGGGGGTCTTGTTGGCACGCCTAAGCACATGCTCTCGCCGCGCCAGCCACCTGATCCCAATCTCCGCATTAATTGACTGACCGACATGGACGGTGAACTGCCGCCTGGGAGACGGAAGAGAGTAAGGTTGACTCTGGAGACTGCGTCCCCACTGCACTCAACACACATTCCTCACTACAAACCATTTGACGCGCTTTTAAACTCGGTGCGCGCCTCTTCAATGCAGCAAGTAGGTGGTCTTTCCCACGCGAGACAAAATCCATAACTGTTTTCCCCTCCTCTTGCCGTAAAACCTGCTATAGCAGTTTGCTCCAACCGTTTCCTCTATTTATCCATGTTTGTAGCAGTCCGCGTCGGACACGACCAACCAGAATGTTTCCAATTTCGACAAGGGCTCCTGGGCCAACGACGGCAAACGAGGTGCCTCTGCCCTTACGCCCGTTGAGAGTACAGTAACCATTGTCCTGGGCGGTGAACAGAACTCCTCGGCGTCCGTGCCGAAGGAACGGCCGGTCTGGATGCTTGAGAGTACCATAAATACCGGGTTGGGTGCGGGTGAGTGCACTGGCCACACGAATCCTTTTGTGTCATGTCTTGCTGATAAAAATGAACGTCTACTTAAATTGAATAAGTAGGTATTTATAGTAATTAAGACCGGGGGTCACTACCTGGCCTTTCTGCTGTTTCCGCCAGGTCTGGGCGAACTGGACCGCGGCGGGGGTACCGCCAGTGCTGCTGAGTCGGCAGGCTCCTCCGCGAATGTCGACCCGATAACACAGACTCTGGCGCCCGGGCGCGTGCCCACTGCCCTGCATTCCACTCCCGACAGCACAGACAACACCAGCACAGCCGGCAGCGGTTCCTCCCAGCAGACTGCCGGCTCCTCGGCCGCCAGCAACATCATGCAGCTGTTAATTGTCCATGAACGTCGCGGTCTCGGCAGCCATGGTCCCAAATCCGCTCAGAGTGAGTTATATTGCCGTCAATGTAACCACCATCACTGTTTTGCTGTGCATTTTGACAATATATGAACCCGAAGATGCTGGTAATATTTTCATATTGACCCGACTGTGAAAAACTCGTCGCCTCGGTGGGATTTGAACCCACGCAGTAAGGGGAAGGCTTTAGTACAGCCAGCGCTCTAACCACTTGAGCTACGAGGCTCCGCCGGACGACGCGAGTTTAATCACATTCGGGTCAAGTTACCCGCCCAACTGACTCTTGTTCGTGTCAGCCACTACGGCCATAAGACTCGGGCAGCTCACTGGTGCATGGGAGAGTTGGAAATAGGAGTACGCGTCCCACTGCAATCAGTCAGCACGCATGTGACTGATGAATAGGCCATGTGTGGCACGCGTAGACGGGCTGTTTGGCCTTGTCAGCTCGCACTCTGTCTTGCTGTCCGAACGCAGTGTGCATATGTGAAGGGTGGGTGCTGGGTGAATCCAACGCATGTCCGCTTCACCATAGGTGATTTTACCCCGAAGTTACGGCCGCGGCCACTTCGTGGAACAGTTGCGCCCCACGTCGCCCGAGCTATCCATAATGCAATAGGCACCTGACCCTGCTTGCCCCATTTGTTAATAATGCTGGAACAGGTGAGTTATTTACCCGATGTTTCGGATTTGTACTGAAGCCTATCACAATGACACTCAGGACTTTTTACGATTCTGGGACTCCACCAACATCTCTTGGGCAGTAGTGATTGAACCTCCTAAGCCGTTACACAATCTTGTTTTTGATTATTTTTGCTAAAAAAAACTTACAATTTTTGTCTTGTATATGTCCGCACAAACTACCCTCCTCTCGTCCATTCCCCCCTACACAGATCGAACTTCAAGCACCCCGACCAATGCAAAAACCTCATCTTCATCCTCCGCTGGGGCCAATCTCGCCAAAAATGGGCAGTCCACAGCTTCAGGTATTACTGCCTGTGACATCTGCTTCCCAATTCTTCTTTTTTTCTGTCAGCCTGTCGCCTAACGATATAGACAGGGGCACCGGGACGTCGTCGCCATCAGCCAGGTATGCCCCTACCAAGAGGAAACCTTGAACTGAACCGACAGCTGCGCCGCGAACCAGCTCGCTGCCGAGTTGTTCAAAGTTGGATTGGCCAATGTGGTGATATACCAACTATCTCACTTAGTTCAGGGGTCTACTGGATGTCAACTCCTTTTTACACGGTTACCTACCACCGATCGTTCTCCTACATAGAGTCGAGTACGGTTTTCGCAGCATTATTCCGCGGATTTCATGCAATTGTGAGCACTTTATGAGCTGACAGTGACACGGCTTCCAGCCTGGGGGAAGGGTCGAAGTGAACCAGTGCTTCGCCATTAACAAGGCTTTGCTACTCACACGGCCTTTTTGATTAAGTAATTGACGCTATTAAAGCTGCGGACGAGGCAGAGATTTTCTGTCTGTAACTCTAAGGAATCGCAGTGTCTCCTTTGTACTCACACGCCCGTCTCCAGCTGTATCGATTGAGGCTGTTTCCCTCTCCTCCGGCCATGGCTATGTTCGGTTTGGGAGTTTGGGCGGGGTGGCCTCTGATGTGCGGTTTGTTTCTCCAAAGAACCCAGGATGAGCGCACCGCAGTCAGATTGGGGTTTGAGAGCACTCAGGCTTCCTCTTGTTGTGATGGGAGGAGGAGTCACGAACGGGCGACCGCTTGCCGGGTCGCAGGGCAGTTGCATGAACTATGCCGTCAAATACGGCGGCGAACTGAAAGAGTGTACCTGTGGGAAGTCAAAACTTGTTTACAACTGGCTCTCCCTTGCTTGCTCAACCGTTTAGGCTATGGTTTCCTCTTGATCTCTCTAAAATCCAGTTCATCTGCAGGTCGTCATTGTTTCCCGAAACAGTGGCTGATAGTATTCCCCGCGTTAGACGGCAAACCGCTGACCGCTAGTTCGATCATTCACATCGTGCATAAAGGGACGCTGACCGACCGGAGTGCAGTCTCGGGTGGACCCTGGTTGGGCCGCGCGTTATGCATGCCTGATGACCGTTTGCCTCTTCGGGCGCTCTGGCGGGAGCGGCGCAGATGAAGAGCAAAGCGTTTCTCGCCTTGTGTCCTGTCGGAATGGCTTGCTCCCCTGGTTCCCCACTGGTACTTCGCCTCAGCCGCAAATGCCCGGAAACCCTCTTCCGCCCTACCCTACCTCACCCCGTTTTTTTTTCTGGCAGGTGGTGAAGCGGGGAAACGTGAGGACACCAAGTCGGCCTCTGGTTCTCTTTCCACCTCCTCGGCCGGTGGCACTGCTGCAGACTACACTGTCACCGTGAACGGCAAGCAGATGTCCTACACGGAGGTCACTCCAGCCATGGTGAGAAGCATGACTTCTGAGGAACGCAGCGAGTACATCCGAGTGGGCAAGAGGTATCACAGCGACGTTGTTTTTGACTAAGGTCGTCCTCTCAGTCGCCTGATTTGTACAGATGCATTCCCTTTACCAAATGCATTATCTTTCTAATCAAATGCCCTGGATTTTCCCTGGGCATTGTCTGCGCACCTTCTTGATTTCCTGTGCGGCTTGTCCGCTGGAGCAAGCGTTTCCGCCTCCTCCGGCCATAGACATGTTCGGTTTGGGAGTTGGGAGGGGAGGGGGTGGCGTCTGATGTGCGGTTTGTTTCTCCAAACAACCCAGGATGGGCGCGCTGCGGTCAGATTGGGGTTTGATAACACTCTGACTTTCTCTTGTTGTGGTGGGAGAAGGGGCCACAAACGGACGACCGCTTGCCAGGTCGCAGGACAGTTGCATAAACTATACCGTCAAATACGACGGCGGACTGAAGGAGTATACTCGTGGGAAGTCAACACATGTTCTCTACGGACTCCTCCGTGCTTGCTCAGCCGCTTAAGCTATGATTTATACGCTTGCCGACATCTTGGTGCATTTACACTTATGTCCTTTTTCGGCAACCTACCGCTTCGCATTAAGGAAGAGTAGAATGTTGACTGCAGCTAAGGGTCCCTGTAGATCACGCCGTTTTTATTGTTTTGCTTGTTTTCGTGGCGAAAATTCAAATGTTGATGCCTCAGCCTGCAGTAGGACCGATATGCCCTGCCGCCCTTTATTTTCTGAAAGCTTTTCGTGAATTAATCCGTAATTCTAGGGAGTAGTGATTGTTTACAGACCGGGGTAGTATAACCGGATACTGCTCGCTCTGGGTCGGATCTCTAGACACTGTAGTAGCCTCGAAGGGGAAGGTCAAGCACACCTAACAGGAAGAACTATCTATCATGGAAAATTGAGTCTTCGGGGTCACGTGGGCGTTCCCAGCATCTGCAGTTGGTGTTCCACATATATCTTCAATTTTCTATTGGCCCGAGGGGCATTCGTCTCTTTGGAAGGTCACACGCCTGCACACTTGTAAACTTGAGTTAGTTGCCAGGACTACTGCTTCAATCTAAGTAGGGAGCGTTGGAGACCACTGGCGAACAGGCAGTCTCTGATTTTAAAAAAATCAAGTCCAGGTTAGAAAAAAACAGCAAGATTCGGACATTTGATGGAGTATTTTATCGCTTGTTTCTGTTAATGACACTCACAAGGAAAGCCGGCTTTAGAGCGAGGGGAAGAGGGAGATGCGATCGCTGGAGCAAGGGTAGTATTTGTCTGACACTCGACAGCAACCTGGACTGCTGCCACAGTCGGCAGCGGTCTGGGTATATACTGACGGTATTAGGTAACGTCTGAAGGAGTGCTTCTAGTTGGTTTTCAGATTCGACAGATCGTCGGAGTTAGGTCAAAGGCCACATGATCAGGTGCACTAGTGCACCTGAGGCCGTGAACTGTCTGTGAATGCGTCTGTATGTCAACATAGTCAAGAGTTTGTTGTGGGCCAGAGGGTGTGGTGGTATGTCCAGGTGCGGGTCCCCGCACCTGTCAACTGACCGGCTCGGACAGTGACTGGGGCCTGGGAGTGGGAAGGTAGAGTGATGTCGATGACTCAGCGCATTTTCCTCCTCACCATAAACAATCTGACGCTCTTGAAGCTATCACGGTGCGCTAAAAGCCGTGACTTGGAAGGTTGCCAACTGACGGGATAACTTGGGCCTCGCAGTCGGCACGGTGTTTGTGTGAAGCGGTTGGCTGGTGATCTAAGAGTCAGGCTGCAGTGGCTCCTTCTTAATGTGGCCTTTATGGCACTCCCACTCCGTGGGATCCGAGCCAGGTGTGACGGAACGCCTAGTTGCGGCTCCAGTCGTGCCAACCCCTTTTGTTGTTGTTGGTTAAAATCCTGGTCATTTTCTGTGTGGACCAGAGGGTGTGAAGTGGAGCGCCAAGCTGCGGGCTCGACCGTGCCATCCACCTGCGCCCTCCCCCTCCAGGAAGGGGAGGAGAAGAGAAAGTGCGGTAGATGCTGCGAAAGTCCACATGCACTATAAAATAAATCACACACAAGTCGCCGCGCCTGCCTCACCGTGTTGTAAAGCACATGGTGGACATCGTTGCCAACGACGGTCGAACTGTAAGATGCGGGTCCAACCGTGTCATCCACCTACCCCCTCTTCCGTCCCCCGTCTTGTTGACTCTTTCTTGACATCAGGCCCTGGTGGGGGGGGGGGGTGGTGGGGAGAGTGCGGTAAATACTGCGCAAGTCCACCATCCTTATAAAAGAAATCACGCACAAGTCACATCACGCCTGCTCTCACCCAGCTGTGGAGCACACGGTGGACATCGTTGGTCATGACAGTCGAACTGTCACGTCAAAATAACTCCTACAACAGGCTGCGCTGGACGTAGGCGGAACCAGACTGACTCACGGCACGCTCTCATATGTCAGTGCCACTTCCCCATGACAGTCCGTCCGTCGATTTGACGATGTCCACCGTGTACTACACACAGCTGGGTGCAGCTGGCACGGTGACTTGCGCGTGAATTAGTTTATATTGATGGTAAACTTGCGCAGCATTTACCGCACTCCCTCTTCCCTACCTGGACCCGGTGTTTGGTGATACGTCTTGGACGTCGTCCTTCGCGCCGCCTCAGTCATTGTGCGCCACTTGAATCTGTCATGGCTCGCTAAGAGTTCTGGCTTTAAAGGTTGCAACTTTACGGGATAAATTGGTTCCTTGTAGGTCAGACTGCAATAGGGCCTTTCCGGCGTGACCCTTGTGGCATTTTTACCGCGATATGACCTCTGAGCCGCCCTCATAGAAACTTACTACGTCTTGCGGGGATCAGCCCGTGTGTCTGGCACACGTAGATAGACTCTCTGTCTTCGTCAGACACCGCGTCCTCACCCTGATATTGCCTCGCAAGGTGGGCTAGGGAGGAGTGAGCGCGGCAGATGCTTCGCGTGACCGGCAAAGTGTCTGAGGTCAACACGTCTACAGGTTGCTCTGGATATCAGATCAGAAAGTATGGGTCACGTCATTTGGACGGCTGGCGGTGCGAGTCAAAGAATCGTGCTCATAACCTACTGGAAAATTCCCGAGATCGTTTTAATATCGTAGCCTAGATGAGTACACTTGAATAGATCTTCGGGAGTACTTTTTGACCAGCATTTCTTGCGATTCCTTCCCGACTTATATATGAAAGTACTTCTCCGGGATCTAGCGAATGATTCTCCGCCGTTCAATGTACCAAGGATTAAATCTACAGTAGGTAGAGGACAGGGGTACTCGTTGGTACAAGCTCAAATGTGAGCCCCAGGAAACGTTTGAGCTTCAGACTCGGTTGCCGGAACAAGAAGTCTTATCCGCCTGACGTCTCGGGTTCGCGATTGTAACCATCATCAGCAGCAGTAGATGTTTGCTTGCCACATCTGAGTCGTAATGTTTATCAGCATGGTAATTCCCCACCAATTCGGCTGGCCGATGCTGGCACTAAAAACCGTCTTCGTCCGCCTATCATCTGCCCAGACAGGGGGGGGGAAGATCACTAGCCTGTTGATGGACTGGGGACCATTGAACTATGTATGGTCCGGGAAGCTCGCGGCCAACGCGGTTGTCACCTCTTGCGGGCATTTCGACATCGATGAAATTATAGGTTGAAAACAAGCATGTACAGCAGAATTTATTGGGGCCAATAAATTTCGTGACGGCTTTTCAACTGCAGCCCGTCTCTGCATAACATAGGTAACGAATGAAAGCGCACAGCAGTATGAATTTGTACAGAATGGCAGTGCATAAGAGCAAGGTCAAAGTTCAAAACAATCAATAATCAGATAAGACGTCCACATAAGCATCAAAAAGGAAAAAGGGAGACGAAATGTTAACAACAAATCACAGTCAGGGGAAAATAGAGGCGTGAGATTACCAGGGCAATTGCAGGTTGATCACGTGATCTAACTGCTTGCACAGGTCTGGTTTCTCCCTCCGTATGTAGGCTGCTTCCAAATAACGCAAGGTTCGAGTTGTACGTGCTCGGACAAGTACTCGAAAGGATGCTTTAGGGTCGACAACATGACCGCTATCTAACAGGTGTTTCGTTATAGACGAACGGGGGGTTCTATTTTCCTGTTTGAAAAGCCAATTAGACAAATGCTCAGCGGCCCTGGTTGCCAATTGCCTTTGCGTTCGCCAAATGTACTTGCATCCGCAAGTACATGTGAATTCATACACACAATTGGGGGTGGCGTGCATTGGCAAGGCATCCTTTGCCCGGTTAATTGGAAGGCTTTTTGTGGAACTGATGAAGATAAGCTCTGCTGCACCAGGCAGATCCTGGACCCCATCGAGCGAGCTGCAACTCGGGAGTTGGAGATCCGATAGAGTTATTTTGCTCGCAACTGCATCAGATCCATGAGACAATCTCAGACGTTCCTTTCCGAGGCAGCAGGTCTTTCGGCCTCCTTTCTGGACGTCTGACTGCTGCTTGTGCGCAATCCCAACTCAACGTGGTGTTAGAAGGCGGCTGACGATTTCTGAGACTTCCTTGACGTATGGGAGCGCTCGCTATAGCTTGGGGCCGGTGTAACTTGGTTTTCTGTCTCGTTATACACTTACATTGATTGACAGGGTTGCGCCGCAGTCATTCACTCTGAGCACCCATTGAAGGTATTGCAATTCGATGTTCTGCCTCCTTCGCAATGATGATAACGAAGACAAAGATTGTGGCTGTTATGGTGATAATGACGGGTTCGCGCATGACTCATAAACGTCAGGTAAACGAAATCCTTGGTTCAGAGACCTCGCCTTGTTTTCCGGAACTTTTATTCGAATATATCGGCACTATCAGACCAGTGTGTTTTTTCTTTTCATTTCTCTTCGCCCTCCTGAGCTGCTGGCGCAGGTCCGGATGCTGACTAGCTCTCGACCCGGCTTACCGCCGCCCCGCACCATAATCTTTAAGTTCGAATTTAGGGCTCCGCTTCAGGGTAAGCAGACCTGAGGCATCAGTTCACATGTGCGCACCGCCAGTTTGTGCCCGCGTATTCCTGAGCCGTTCTTGTGGTCCGG